AAATAGCACGGGCAGCCAGGCACAGTGGTGCATGTCTGTAATCCCAGCAGTTTGGGAGGCTGAAGCAGGAGGATTACAAGTTCAAAGTCAGCCTCAACAACTTAGCAAGGCCCTAAGCAATTTAGTAAGACCCTGTCTCTAAATAAAATATTTAAAAGGCTGGGGATATGGCTTAGTGGTTAAGTACCCATGAGTTCAATCTCCCAGTAACGAAAGAAAGAAAGAAAGCACGTGCAAAAGCCTAACCTGGCTTAATGTTGCATCATGGCTGGAGTTTAGGATGCAAGGTTGAAAGGAGGAAGAGTTGAACCTGAAAAACATGGACAGAATCAGGAAGGTCCTTGTACGTCATATTAAAAAGCAGGAATTTTTTCTGAAGATATAAAGGAGCCATTTGAAGCATCCAAAAGCTTATTCTAGGTCTAAGGGTGTAGCTCGACAGTACAGCATGTGTTTAGTGTTTGTGCTTAACATTGGTTCAGCCCCTGGCACCAACAGTGACCAAATTAGCTCATCTAGAAACTCTGTAAAGATTAGTAAAAACATTACTATAGGAAATAAGATGGGGGTGGAGGCTGTTGCAATAATCCAAGCCAGAAATAATGAGGAGCTAAAATTTGGTGGCTAAATCCATGTGAAGAAAAAGAAGAATCATAGGGGTTTAATTTGAACATCTAAGAATTTATAATACAGAAGGTGTGCAGTAGCCAGTTACAAATATCTTATAGGCTTGAGACTTAGGAGAGATATGCTAGAAGCTCAGGTTTACAAGGTGTTTTGATGAAATGGATGGATCAAGTGTGTTTACTGTTGTGCTGAAACTAGCTTAACTGAAAAGTGAAACAATTGCCCAGTCATTTGGAAGAAAACTCAAGATACCAGTTTAGGTTTTTATTTGGAAATCATTTACATAAATGTGCTTATTACATAGGAATAGAGGAGTGTAGAGAAGGAAAAGGGAAAACATTATAAGTCAGGCCTAAAGGAACATGAATTTTTTTACTTGGGGAGGATGTTGCTGTATGAAAGCTACACCCAGTGTAGCCCTGCTCTCTGCCCACAGCAATCTCTAGTCTCCCATTGTCCAGTCTGTAACACATCTTTTACCTGCCTGCTGGAGATACCTTCTTAAGATAGAAACCAAGTCATGTAATATATCAGCACAGAAATCATCTTTAGTTGGTTCTGTATTTTTCGTGGAGTTCAGTTCTCTTTAAGTTTTTAATGTAGGTCCTACTGCTCAATGGTAGACGTTTTGACCTGTTTTCATTATCTTCCAAACCATCCTTCTGAGTATGTTTCCTTTAAAGACACATCCCTCAATCTTTTGCTCACTCTGCTTTCTCAAACTGTTTTCATTTTCCAGTTATCAGAATGTAACTTACCCCCTAAGATCCAGCTAGATGTGTCCTCTGAATCCTTCTCAAAAACCTCCATTCCTAAGTTAAGGCCTCTCTTCTTTTATTTCCATGCATTTCCCTCACCCTTGTTGGTTATCTACACAACTTTTCCCCATTCAGTCATGCACTTTCAGAGAACAGGGGCTCCTGCTCACTCAGGATTGTATCTCTAGTGTATCTAGCCCAGTGCTTTGCTCTTAGCATGGGACCCATATGCATTTAGTTTTGGTTTTGGCATGATAAGTATCCAAAACTATAAATCATGAATCAAAGTGGTCTTCACTCTATTACAGTATGATTCTAGAAACCACATCTCAATGCAGAGGATTTTTTTTTTAAGGAAGAATATTGTAATTGAAGGATTTAGCATCAAATAAATCAGATACGTGAATAGTAATAAATTCCAAAATCAAAAATAAACTCCAAACTAGATGAATGTATAGAATTGTGCTCCTTGAAACAGAATTTTAGCAAGCAAGGAAGCCTTGAAAGAGCTCACCTAGTCTAGTGGTTTTCAAACTGTTTTCTGTAGAGGGCTCTCAGGATAGGACTGGGAAGGCAGGGAGTGCCAGGCCATGTAAACCCTAGTTTCACCCAGAGTGATTCTGTTTTCACATGTTTATATATGAGACTTTCAATAATTTTGCTATTACATCAGTTTGAAAACACTAGCATAACCTTCATACAACTTCTGTATCCTTGGAACTCTGGGCCTCCATTTCCTCATCTGCAAAATAAGAGAATGGTGCTATGATAGCTTGTGCTTTTATGCTGAGCCCCTTTATTCCTTTCCAAGAAAAAAAAAAAAGAAAGAAACAAGAAATATTACAAGGCTTATTCAGGCCTCACAGAGTTACTAACAGAACCAAGAGTAGAATTTAACTACCAACCTTAATTGATATTTTTCCTCTTGCATCAGTTTTTTAAAAATTCCTACAAAGTAGATATAAGCAAACTATAGATATTATTTGGAAAAGGTAGATGTGAGCAGGTATATAAACAGCATGTAAAAATGAGCTATACCATGTAATAAATTTGCCTTATTTAAAGCTGATGTGCTAGCTACAACCTGTATTAATTAAACATTTACCTGATTTTATGTTCATTCTTCAGATTTATAGAAATATTTGGGTTAGTTGTTTGCATGGCCCATTTCTCTTTTACAAATCAATATATGAATTGTTTTCTTCTTGATAAATCTTCACATAACCAGTGGAAGCATTTAAAATCATTTCATTAATCATTCTTTCATGTTTAAGTCTCATTGCATCTAAATTAAAAAACATCCCTAAGAAGTTCTGAGGGTTTGGGAAGTAAGAGTCTCTAGATTCTGCTCCTTTCATTCATCTTCTTCGCTTTGCTCATCTTCCTCTCTTCATCCCCTCCTCTCCAAATCAAGGGTATCCATGAAGAGGAAACGAAGTCACAAAACAACTGAGAGGTGTGTGTGGAAAGGAGGGAAAGAAGGGCATTCATGCTCCTTGGCCTTGTTAATGGTGGGGGGCGTTTATGGGCTGATCACATTCCAGCCTTGGGGGCTTTTTTGTTTAAAGATAAAATAAAACAAAACAGCTCACAGAGACACCTCCTTCTTCCCCCTCCTTCTGCCTCCATGAGTCACTACCCATATGGCGCTGCTGCTGAGACCAAGGAATGAGTGAGTAAAGGTGTTTAGAAGTGAAGTATTGGTCCTAATTAAATAAGTGTCCTTTGCAAATAAGTGTTAAAACTTTGAAATATGGATCCCTTACTAATTTATAGGATTTGAAGATAGGCTAAGCCACCTTTGCATCATAAAAAAGGAATTGGGTGTGCCAGTTATAGTAATGTAGTAATACAGTAGAAAAGATGGCAGGAACAACCTACTTAAACAAACTTTCTGGGGCTATCACAGCATCTATTGCAAATGAATAAACTATAACAGGCAGGATTGGTAAGACCTGCCCATGACAACATGTTATAGCTTGACTTCATGGTGATACATAATACAGTCTGACTTCTCTCCCCTAGACCTCTTGAATAGGTTCAAATTGGTGGTAATTTCTGAGCTTATGTCGAGTTTTTTTGTTTTTGTTTTTGTTTTTGTTTTTAGTCTGGTAGTTTTACCAAGTTTCATATGTATACACATCTATCTTTGGTAAGATGCTGGGCTTATCATGAGCAGAGAGATAGAAATACTTATTTCTTGTAAACAATAAAGCATCTTACCTTTAATTTGATTACAGTATTTGGAATTTATTTTATAAACCTATAAAGGAACCAGAGAAATTATGTTGATGATTAATGCTTTCTGAGTTAAGTTTTAATGGTTTTCTTTGCTTGATGCTCTATCAGGTGAGAGCAGACAGACCATTCTGCAAATTGTGTTACTCCTTGAATTTGAAATTTTCCTTTTTGTATGTACTTCTTTCCAAAATACATTTCCACTGAGTCTAATCAACTTCACTAGTAGAGAAAAATCAACGAGTCATTTGTTCTTTTGTTGTTGGGGTCACTTATACAATACCCACCTTTAACCTCTAAGTCTTCTCCTTCTTTATTTCTTTATTAAATGCTTGACTTAACGTTATATGGCTAACAATAATAATCACATAATTATGGTACAGAAAAGCATAACATCCTCTTGAAATCTTTATGATAAGCAAAATAATACTTGTTTAAAAATACTCAGTGCCAAATCTTGCAGAAATCTGATTTCAAAAAAGGAGGAAATCTAAAAGGCAAAATGAGTTTCCATAGAGATAACACTGGGAAAGCATTAGTTTCATCAAGACTAAAAGAGAAGGTTTTAAATCTTTTCTTTCATTTTATTTCACTTTGTTTTGTTTTTCTGAATTTTTTAATTTAATTATCTAGGTATCTACGTCTTATATGTAATTCAAAATTTTAATAACAATTTATATTTTCTTTGGGAATATTAAATGGATCCTTTCCATAACATCTAATTATCTTTTTCAAAAAATTTTTTTGCAATCTTTTTTATTGCGTTGATTTATAAAGCATTATTTGTCATTCAAACACCATTTCCCACAATACACTTTCATTTGGAGCTCATGTTTATTCTAGAAGAAGCATCCAACACTCAATAATATAATTTGGTACCACTGAAAGTGCTTATTTGTTTTTCTCACAAAGTTGTCATTAATAAAATGATACACTGAACAAATTTTTTGAAAGATTTAAAGAGCTTCCAAATTAAAAATCTTGCATACAGTTCAGTAAGAATCACTATAAAAATATGGAAACTACTGAAGATTACAAAGGAAAGACGCAATGTAGAAAGATAAGTGTATCACTTTTGTAATATACCACGTAGTATTAGGAGATTAATTTAGGCTGATAAACAAGCCACATTTTTTGCCACACATCTGAAAGCTGGTTTTGTTTATAAAGAAGGATTACACTATCTGGAGAACTGCTTCCTTGGTTTTCCATAAGAGTGAATATTTTTCTTGATAGACATTGCATTCTGACATAGACATTCTTATTCAGAACGGGTGTGTTCTCTCCTCATTCAGGAAGTTGGTGGGTTTTCAGCATGTGAATATTGACTGGGTTTCCTTCTCTCATTTTTGACTTACTACTTTTCTTCTTCCACAGCAGTCAGTCAGTAAGGACAAGTCCCAGGATTTCAGACTTGGCTCACAATCAGTGACACAGTAAGCAACTTTTCCTTCTAAATAATGTGCAGTAATAAATAGATAAGGTTTGTGTTTGTTTTTTGTTATTGTTTTTAGGATAATTTCTCCATTTCCTTTTTTCCTAGCATATGATCACACTACAAGTTAAAGTTCAGATAATTGATTTTTAAATGAATGTAACTAGTTTACACTAAAGAGAATGTTTTAATGATTGGACCTTGAGAATGTGTATTATTTCAAGGCCATAATAATTGACATTAAATAATATCACACTAAACTTTCAAGGACCTATTTTGTTATTTACTTTTGTTTAAGTAACATATTGAAATAACTTCAACTGAAAACAAGTGATGTGGTAAAATGAAATTTCTATATTGAGGCATTAAAGAAAAATGCTAGTACTCAAGTCATCATAATTGTATATGTTCTCTAACTGCTTAACATATCTGAGTAATTTATTTTAAGGTATTTATCTTAAAAGATCTGTCGGAAGGCTTTATATATATATATATATATATATATATATATATATATATATATATATTTATATTTTTTTTTTTTTTGGAACTTACCATGTAACAATGTATAAAAAAGAAAACCCGTCTAAAAAAATGTTTACATCAAAACTCCCCGACATATTTCTCAATTTTTATCATTTCAGATTACCTTTTGGACCTAATATTAAGCCCAGACTTCACATTCATACTATATTACTAGCAAAATAAAACATGAGTGTAACAACTCTGATGTGCCCTCCCCCCCCCCCCCCCCCCCCCCCCCTCCTTGACACATGGGTCCATGCTTACTCACATGTGCACACACAATCTCTGCTGAATTTCCTGCAGAAAAACATTAGTTCAAATTAACCCTGCTATATGCTTTGAGACTTTGAAGAATAATTTGTCTCGTCTTCAAAAATTCTGATTCAGATTACAGTAATTTACAAAATCATCAAAGCTGAGACAGTATTTCATTCTACAGATGCAAGATGTGAAATTTTTTTAAGAGAGAAAGAGAGAATTTTTTAATATTTTTTTTTAGCTTTCGGTGGACACAACATCTTTATTTTTATGTGGTGCTGAGGATCGAACCCAGCGCCCCGCGCATGCCAGGCAAGTGCGTTACTGCTTGAGCCACATCCCCAGCCCCAAGATGTGAAATTTTTAAATTGATTTTAAAAGAATCACAAAATTATAACCTAGATGATACCTTAGAAATTCTTTCTATAACCCCTTTGTCTTTATAGTAGATAAAACTGGTTTTATAGTGGAGTCAACTTGTGCACATTTCAAAGCGCACACTTAGTCAGACCCTGGATCAAGACCTAAATCTCCTGATTCCCAGACTACTTGGGTTTTTTGTTTGTCTCTTATTTAACTGGACTCAGTATCCACAAGTTACTTAGTAAGGTATCATTTTTTAGGGGTTTTGTGGGGGTTTGTTGTTGTTGAGAAATAAAATCTATTGATAATTATTTATTTAGACCTGTGTAGCTTCAGAGTACATTCACCCACGTTTTCATATTTGATCCTCACAACATCCCTGGGAAAGAGGCCAAACCATATTTGGCCCCCATTGTACCAATAGAGAAACAAGATCTGAAAGGCTACAGCGAGGGTTCCTGGTTGTGGTATGTGGCAGATCCAGTACGAGAATACAGGTCCTCTTAATTCCAGTCTGCTCTTCTTTCCATGCTCTCCCTCCACCTGTCCCACAGTACAAACACATACCCAGGTCTTTCAGGTTTTTGTTTTGATCTGCCAAGTATGTTTTCAGTTCCAATCTCTGAAAATTTAAATTTTACATAATACTAGATAGTAAAATCTCTGACCCTAAGAAGTTTATACCCAATGACAAATTACACATATATAAAATAAACTGATAGAAGAAGAACTGACTGTTTCAGTAACCAAATCAATGACCATATTAGTACATTAGAGGAACAATGTTCTGTTTTTGAACATGTTTTATAACATTTTTTAGAACTTGGGCTGGGGATGTATTTCAGTGGTAGAGTGCTTGTCTAGCATGTGTGAGGCCCCAAGTTTAATCCCAAGCACTGCAAAAAAAAACAAAAAAAAAAAACATTTTTATTAAATATATAAATGAAACAATGTCTTTTACACATACAACTCTGACCCACTCTGAGTAGCTGTTCTCAGGTGATACACAGATCCATACCATGCCCTCCAAATTAAAGCTCAGAGACATCTCAGTTTTTAAAGGCTATCAGGATAGCTTAGCTTTTCTCTTTTTTTTTATGTATTTTTTTTTAGTTGTAAATGGACACAATACCTTTATTTTTAGCTTAGCTTTTCTTTTTGCATAGAACTCACTTAAGAACTTTTTGAAATTTTTTAGTTTCATAAGAAGATCAAATATGTCCTTTAGATAAATAAGTCTTTGGGCCTTCCCCATACTTATAATTTCTTAGAAGTAAGACTGAATTAAGATAGATTTCTCATGAGTTGAAAACTGTAGTCAAGTTGATGATAGAAAACTATAACCCAGAATGTATAGAGAAGTCATTTCTTTAATGTACCTAAAATGAGTCCATTGTTCCCAAGTAAATGGACAAGGGCTAAATTTTTGTTTGTTTCTTATGTTGCTTATTCTTTGGGTGGGGGAGGAGAATGGCAGTCAATTCCATGTACGCATTTATCTGCATTTTAACAAAGCCACACTTTATTTTTAGATATCAAGAAGAAACTTTTATAGGTTAATTTTCTTGAAAGTCTTTAATTTCCACCGTTTATACCACATGCAGGTTCTTCATTTATTAACTGGTGCCCAAGTTGGAGTTTGTAATGAAACTTCTATAAATAGTTATAATCCTTATTAAGTAATACTAGTATTCTCTAGCTATTCACATATTGTATATTGAGTTTTGTTGGGTTTTGGTTTTCTGGTTCTTAACATTAGAAGGCTTTATGCCATTAAAAGCTTTGGTCAGAGAGATTAATTCAGATAGTCAATCATTATTAAAGTCCTTTATTTTTAAACACTCAAATGCCAACTGAATGAATGAAATATAGCACAGCCATCAGTGCCAAGTATTCTATCACCCCTCCACTGCATATATTTGTCCATCTTTATAATATTCTTCCTCTACTAGGCTAAGTTATTCTTTTCTTCATAAGTATGTCACTTGCAACTTTTCTAAGTTGTTTATTATTCAATTTTCAGCCTTTATCCTGCTCGCTGCCCTCTATTTCTGAAATCAAAATCATTCATTGTAACATGTGACACCACAGTATACTCCGCACTGAGCTTGGTGCATTGAGAGATATAAAAAAGTATTCACACGTTAGATGAGGAAATAGAAATAAGCATTTTGAAGGAAACAAACTATACAGTTGGGTGCAAAATGGTGTGAAACGTGTTGTAATTACAGGAAGAGAGAAGTCAAGTAGCTTGGAAAGGCCTCTGTGGGGCTTAAATTGAGCTTTGACTTAATAGGGCTTTTGCATGTGATACAAGAAGGAAGCAGGTATTTCAGACTGAAGAAGCAAATCACAGTAAAGATAGGGGAAGCTAGCAAGGGGAGAGTGGAAGGAGAATCGCTAATTGGTGGTTTGGGATTGGGGATTTGCAATAGAATAAAAAATCAAGCTAGAGATTATGGCTCTCAAAGAATGCAGTATGAAGGAGTTTGGAGAGCCACAGATGATTGGAAGGTGGGACTAGGAGACATATCTTACTGTGTTTGCCCAGCATTTTACATGAGCCTAAGCAAACATCAGGAATTTGGTCTTGTTCCAGCCCTTTTTTTAAAAAAAATTTTTTGTTGTTGTTGTAGAAGGACACAATACCTTTATTTTGTTTATTTTTATGTGGTACTGAGGATCAAACCCAGTGCCTCACACATGCTAGGCAAGCGCTCAACCACTGAGCTACAACCCCAGCCCTTGTTCTAGACTTTGATGCTACTGCTATAAAGAGGAACAATCAGGAGCATCATTTCCAGGTAAACGACAGTGGTTCATGGGTGAGCATCAGTGCAGTGGAGGAAATGTGGATCATCTGTTTTCTGCACTAGGCATCTGTTCTCTGCACTAGGTATTGTGCTAGACACTGAAATCCATTAATAATTAATATACAGTATGCATCTTGGAGGAGTGCTCAATGTGGCAAGGAAGACAGACTATGTGTAGTCATTTGCTAAGTAGAGATTTGCTGAGCACTACCATATCTCAGTGTTCTAGGCACTAGGGACACAACAGTGAACACAAAAATCCTGGCCACAAAGAGCTAACATTTTATTTATTTATATGTAAAATAAGTTAAATGTCTATGTCAGATATGAGCTATGCTATGGAGAAACATAAATCATAGGTACAGAGAGGAAAATTGAAGCCTGCAGTTTTAAATAGGAGTGACAGAGAAGGTCTCACTAAGAAAAGTGGAAGGAAAAAGGGAAATGAATGATGTGAACATGTGGAGAGCAAGTGTAAAAAGCTCTGAGGCAGGAATATACCTCGTATCATAAAGGAACATAAAGGAAATTGCTGGAGTTTCTGGAGTAAAGTAAACAATTGGGAAAGAGTACCTGAGATCAGGAAAGGTAGCAAGACTTTTACATTAAATGAAATAGGATGCCATTAAAAGAGGGAGTGGCTTAGAATTTAACAGGATCATTCTGACATTTTAGGCAAATATAGGTATTAATGGACAAGTATGGAACCAGAGAGACCAGTTAAGATAATATTGAAGTTGATGCTGCCTTGAAAAAGAGGGGTAACAATGAAGTTAGTAAGAAGAGAACAGGGGCTGGGGATGTGGCTCAAGCGGTAGCACGCTCGCCTGGCATGCGTGCAGCCCAGGTTCGATCCTCAGCACCACATACAAACAAAGGTGTTGTGTCCTCCGAAAACTAAAAAAAATAAATAAATATTAAAATTCTAAAAAAGATAAAAAAGAAGAGATCAGATTTTTTGTACACTTACATATTTCTAATACTTTGAATAAAAATAATACTAGATATTCAATAAATGCATGTATTTAAAGTACAGTTTAAG